ATCTTCATTTTTAACTTTTGGAAGACCTTTGGTAGCCCTCAGATAGGGTAAGCAAAGAGCAATGCAATGCAATTATTTGGCATATCTAGCTGGCTTAATATTTCTAAAGATAATTTTTTTCAAAAGTCTTCATTTTTGCGAGGTTCTAAAATACAGAAACGCCTCGAACACTAATAAATCATCGGATTTTGAAGCTTTGAAAAACCGATTACGATTATTCACTATTTTTACGAAGCAAATGAGCGTTTACTGCTTCAAAATATAAGATTTTGCATTTTACGTGTACACGCTGGGGTGGGGGTCAAATTCAAGAATTATGAAAATTTTATCGCCAAAGACCGCGCAAATTGGAGAGAAAATACACTCACTGGAAAGAGGAGGAAAAGCTGCATCGAATAACACCTTAGTTGTGCGCCGTTTCATGATCTCTGGCTTTTGGCATCAGCAAAAGTGGAATTTGATAGCATCAGAAAAATAATTCTAAAAATTTTTCAAGGGTTGCTATAGATGCCGCAAAATTGCATTATATTGCCCTTTGTTTGCTCTATCTAGCTGTTGCCAAAGCTTTTCCGAAAATCAAAAATAAAGATTGTGAAAAATTCCCAAACTTGGACATAGTAAAAACCATGGGTTCGAAATTTCGGCGTTCATCTCATTGAACAAAAGATTAATCGGCATGGAAGCATGACAGTTAGAAATAGAAGGAAAAGATGCGTCGGATAGTGCTTAGAGCGTTTTCCTATCTTCGTTCCACGCGTTTTCATGATAGGTTGAAAAAACGGACAAAACTTTCGCGACAACCTAATCATATAAAACGCTCTTGTTTTTTGTTTGAGATGCAAGGAACTATAATGCTACTCTAGAGGTTCGGAAGTGTTCTGGAAGAACTAGCTATCTGGGAGATGGTATACGCACAGATATGGATAAAGAGCTAATGATAAACGAATAATCTTCAATTGTTCCAAGTTTGTCTCTGTAGACGAGATTTTTTCGTGCACTTTTACGCCTGTATGTACGCATACATCTGTGCGCAAAATATGAATACACAAGTGGGCGAGGTAGCTCCGCTTCTACGCGAAGCTCCGCGCACAGTTGAAGTTTAGGGTGCCGCGCATCATTGCGGCGTCGTTCACAGGGACAGACTACCTGCCGCGCTTCATTGCGCGCACTGTCGTCAACGTGTTAAGGAGTTCTAGCTATCTCTAAGACGAAGATATACTTGCGGCCACACTGTAATCAATGTATTCTAGCGTTCAGATGGAGCAATGATGATTTAAATGGAATAGGTAAGTGAGTAGATGAGACGATAAGTAATTGTGCATACCCTCAGTGAACCTTTTACGCGGCCCCTGTATGAAAAAGGGAAAACGTGTTCCTATCCCTTTAACCTATGAGCTGAAAAACTGGAAGAAGTAAGACTAAGAAATCAAAATCTTCAAGCAAAATTATGAAATTATTGGCATTATTAAAATTAAATTAGTAACATCTTGTTTCATAATATCATCACTTCATTATCAAACTTATTTGCAAGTTTCCTGAAAAAAACATCGGGAATTTGCCGCTTATTGTTCACTTCTAGGGAACTACGAAAAGGCTGGAGAGAGATTTACGTGCAGAGCCTTTGTGTATATAATTCCATGAAGTTACTCAAGCATTTGCTGAATTAACTAGTGAAATAGTAAGTGAACTTTGATGGTTGGTGCATAGTCGAGTCGCTTTTTTTTCAATAAGGGATGAATTCTTTGAACAGATGGCAAAATCCACAAACAGCCATTGTTTCAACTTTTGATATAATCTCTAAACTCTGACAGGAGATCGTAACGTTTGCGTAAAGAAGCAGGTGCCACCAAGAGCACTTACTACATTGAAGACTTAGTGTAATCAGGGCCAGTCTTACTGTCAAAATGCCATAGCTACGAGAATCCCGGAGTCTTCGACAATCCGCCTACTTGTACATGACATGGAGGGGTAAAGGACAGCCAGAAATACGTTCTTCTACGTTGGAGCACTATATAAAAAGTGGAAGACAACCGCATATAATTGATGGCGCTTGAATATTCTGAAAAAAATTGTTTTGTATCGAAGAAGAGTGAGAAACTTAGATGATAGTATGGTATTGCAGCCCTTCTATATTTCAGACTTTGTATACCTAGGGAGGCTAGTCTCAACCTGTAACATGGCTATCCTCAGGTTTTGCCATGTTACAGGTTGAGACTAGCCTTCCTAGGTATGCAAGGTCTGAAATATAGAAGGGTATGCAATGACCTTTTCTTCAGTTTTCGTATCATACTACTGGAGACTAGACGAGCACTATTGAGCCTAGCAAAACTGGACTTTTAATCTTGTGGCTATCGAACAGGAAGCATTTTCTTAGAATATCGCAAATTAGGCAGCGAGTAGAACTATAGGTGGTTGAGTCTTCAAAGGAAGTTACTTCTTGCAATAATTCTGCGGAATTCCGCAAAAAAAAACTAAGAGCAGTGAATGTTTTAGAAATCCTGATTATCACAGACGTGTGAAGAATTGCACGCGTGTGGCTTGTTCTGACTTTTTCTGGCTTTCAAAAATTTCTACTGATTCTTGGTGTTTTATTTCCTTCAAAACAAGGTTGCCATTTTTACCTATTCTGGAAAATCTGTGCTGTATTTAGTCTTCCCTTACAAAATTACAACATGTTTTTCGCTGTACACTTTCGTTCGTGTGTGTTTGTTATAGAATTGCAATTGTAGTCGCGAACGGGGGCTCGATGCCCTGCCTTGCCGCCCTGTGCGGCTCCTCACGTGCAAATACCTGATTGATTGTGCCAACGCCTATGCTTTGTTTGAAGATTAAACCATACATGTCGAGCTCATCTCAGGAGAACATTGGCAGTTGTGAATTGACAGCTATGAGGTTGTTTCATAATTTTTTTCAATTATGTGTTTTTACCGCAATAAGTCACCAACTCCTATTTAATCCGAATGCAGGGTACCATTCGATAGAACAAGGCAAGCTCTATTAGGTGGCATGTGAGTGTTTGCACCAGCTTCAGCAATTCACGAGCTAAAAGCCGAAATCTGGAAAATTTCGGATGCCTGCGAATTTGAAAAATTTTCATAACCCTGTCCAAAGGCAACTCACCAGACCTTAAATTTGCTCACATATTTGCATTCCACATAAGGCATTCATATATGCCGTTGCTGTATTTGTTTCTGTGCTAAAAACTAAACCCAGAAAACTAAAATTCTCAAGGTTTCAGAGAATCGATGCTGCACTGTCCTCACATAAATAAATGTATACCACTATCTTTCAGAAGTACGATCACAGATTTCTAAAAGCTGTAGGTTCCGCAGAAATATTGATCTCATCATAAAATATTCTAGCAAAAAAAAACTAAAATTGGTATTTCTCAGGAACTAGCGCCTGAATGCTGAAAATTTACCGATGTATTTCTGAAGGCTCATAGTATACTACCTATGTGAGAACAGCGCAGCATCGCTATTTTGAAATCTTGAAAATTCTAGTCTTCTCCATTTCTAGCGCAGAAACAAACACAGCAGCGGCGCATATGAATATCTTACAAGGAGTGTATACGCGTGAGGAAGTTTGGGATCTGGTAAGTTCCCTTTAAACAGAGATGTGAAGAATTCTTACATTTTCGGACATGCGAAAGTTCTCAGATTTCGGCTTCTAACCCGTGACGTGTCGAGGCCGGTGTCAACATTTACACGCCGCCTTATAGGCTTATTTTGCTCTATCGAATGGTACACAGCATTCTGATTAGTTGAGGAGTGGGTGACTTATTGCGGTAAAAGAAAAAATTGGAAAAACTTATGAGACAACCCAATATTTTAGCTTCTTCTCCATGTTTGCAAGTCTCAGAGAGTTATCCGGCTTGGAAAAGCCGTTCTAGGAGATCAACGACCAGTGAGCCCTCTGCCTGCTAGAGATTCCCGCTTCCTGTTTGCCCACGGTCCCTAACGGATTCGTCCGTCCCGGGTTAAGTTAGCCAAACAAGCCCTGGTATTTCCTGCCGTCCCGTACTGCGTCCGGGTAAGAGAAAAGAAATTCGGTAGAGGCATCCTCACTTCTTGAAGAAGAAGAACGACCTGGTCCTTACAGCAAGAAAATTATTATCTTTTTCTATTATCATGCTATGTTTATGATTTTTTGGATGTCCTTGGCATACTTTTTGAATGCTTTGTTTAAATTTTTGGTGCACTTTTGTGTACAACACCAATAAATAAATAAATAAATAAAGGATTTTAGATGGGAAAGTCAGTCATAATCTAGCGTTCGAAATTTGTGTGATGAGGAAAACCGAATGATGGAAGTTGCATTGATTCAGATAGTATTCGGAAACGCGTGATAATTTCACAAGCCCTCGCGACTATTCTCGCGGACTTTCCGACCTTCCATTGAGAGAAGGTACCCCAAACTCGGGTAATCAAATCATTGATTATTTGCCAAGCGCTTGCAAAAAGTGATGTATTGCTGCACGCTGGCAGAATATGCGACCGTAAAGGAAGTGCCGTCCGCTGAAGGTTTGGCCACGCCCCAAAATTCTGCTGACCACCTGCAGAGAAACGCGAGCTTGCCGACCGCCTGCCCCGGCGATTATCTGAGTAGGGGCTTTCCGCAATTTTCTACTAGCAGCAAATGCAAAATCGCAAAATTTATAGCGCCATATTTGAGAGCTTTTTTTCGTGGCTAACGCAGAAGTTATCAAACATCTATCACAGAGCGCGAATTTCTATTTGTGGAAGACAAAACTATGCATTTAGATCCAGCACTCAAACAGTTTTTTACTTTTGTGTGAATTGCGCGAGAACTTTTGCGCCAACCTAATGTATGTTACAGCCTTGATATAAACAGTAATTATCACAGTAATTATTGGCGAAGCGAGGGTAGTATGAGGATGCACAAAACCTAGTTTGCAAAGTTAAAAGAAAAAATGACATGTGCTTTTTGGGGGTTGCACACCAGCGAGTACACTTTTTAACTACAGCTTCGCGTGTAACTTACGCGAATCCAAATGCGAATAATGCACAAATCACAACGACGCCGTCGAGTATGTTCCAGAAGTCACGGCAGTAGGATCCTGGATGCAGGATGACACCTTGATCGATCACCTGAAACATGGTTTGTCGTTTGGTATTATGCTGAATATACCAGACCAATGCTTCACTTCTGCTTCGCAGAGGCTCGCACTGGCCATCAAGAAACGATGGTAAACTTAGGATGTGAAGGCTTTCTTTTAGATTATTGTTAGGTTGACTGCTGTGAGAGAGACCTAATTGAAAATGAACCATACTCGCTATAAGAACCTCACATGCTCCAAAGCATTGTAAATCATTCCTCACTGTATTTTCGTAACAGACAGACTTACAGACCGACAAATAAGCGGCTTATTATAAGTCATGATACCAAATATGTGGGCAACCTCAGATCAAGCTTTGAAGATATCTAACAAACCTTAAGCAGCATCTCGAATGCAAAAACAGCGGTAAAACTGTAGTCCATGTATTGAAGAACCTTATTTCTGACACTGTCCTCATTTATAGGATCTTCGGCTGCTAAGGATATAGACGATAAACAGATGACCACCATAATTGTTATTTCGAAGTATTTCTTGCATACTACACTGTGAATCAGTAGTCTTAGGCTGAAACGAAAAAATGTCCGGATGTTGTTGGACACTTCAAGCAAAAGCGTACGGATTTGATGAAGACATAATGAACATGGATGTATAGGGAACCATAGGTCTCGGACCTCCAAATGGTGATTCTTCTTCTTCGATTTCTTCAAAAGAATAAATATTTGAGACCTGCCTGAAGCACGAAATAACCAAAGTGAGAAGGAAACAAACCGTCAACGCTATTATCAGCGACTATATCAGTAATGCTGCAGCGGTCTCCAATCTGAAGCGCAACCTCGATATCGAACAAAAAAAAACGACAAATTATTTGCATAGGAGTAGACCAATTTACACGCTTATGCCTCTAGAATTCTGTAGACTTTCGAAGTCGACATACTCCGCGCGGCTCTAGCCTAAGCGGAGCATGTCGACTTAGCGCATTAGCGCAAAAAGAAGGTGGAGGAGAAATTGGTTTTAAATTGAATCGTTTAGATAAAACTAGAAGTTGCCTTATGGGAAATACTAGGTCTAAAAACTATTATTTTCCTTGAAAGTTTTTTTGCCGGAAAGGTTTGTTTCTCATTTCCAATCAAGATCTAGCGCAGAGACCATCAAAGAAAATCCAATTTTAATAAGTCTCAATCTTCGCTCAACTTTTCTATCGTAATTTTCGTGAAATCAGTCCGCAGATAAACTTATACGAACAGCGCAATGCAAGATTCCTCACAGTATTTCATAATTTAAACGATTATTTGGGTCATAGAACAGATGCATATGATGCTTTTCAACAGCTCACATAGGGACCTCAGAAATATTAAAAAGGACAGCAACTCGCGAACAATGGTAAGCACTCATTCTTGTTGTTCATCGCAGGATTTGCACAGAAGGCTTCTGACGCTCTTATAGCCAAAATTTCTACTCGTGTTCTTTCATTTCTATGTTGAATCCTTTCTACCGTCCTCATTGAAAAGGCGTACGATTGATACCAGGACATTCGCTCAAAGCAGCATCGTATGGCAGTTAGCGAGGCGCGATGCAACGCTATTTGCACTGCGCTACGATACAGCCCCTCTCGCTTACCCAACCTTCCAAATTTGCATTCCTTTCCTGGGCACCTCACTCTGCGCAAAAACACCTAGATTACGCGTCACACATCAAAGGCGTAGCTAGACAAGACTGAACAGGATTTCTGGTAGTGAGGTTGCTTGCACCCCAAATACGGAGATAGAGAAAGTAAGAGCACACAGCATTCTGCGTCTTCCTTGAAAACTGTTCCCAAACCTGTGCGGCAAGGCAACACACTGGTTCGGATGAACTCGGAATTTCCCTACTATTGTCGGAGGGCATGCGCAAATTATAACCATAAAAGTCCAGCACCGACTCTGCGTCTCCAAAAAGCAAAAAGTGGCAAAAAGTGTTCCACTCGTCCAAATCCAAAATGAAGGGCTTTTGGAAATGCTGGTTCCGTTATTCTCGAGCCTTTTATGGTGGATTCGAAATCAGCGTAAGCACAAGATGTCAGGAGTACTTACACAAGATGTGATGGCAAATGACTTGTTTATACTTGTAAGAATTGAAATAAATCCTAGAAATTTTCAAAAATTCACTGCTTTGTAAAAATATCTTTTGAGGGTTTCGGAATTTTGGGAAGCATACAAATAATCTTTCGGAGGCGGCAACTACTTCGCAATTTTGTTCAAAAACTTCTAAAGCTTTTGCTCCAAATAGAAATCCTGACCGCTTCTCAACATAGCAGCGTTGCAAGTAAGGCATTGGCCCGTAGTAAAGCTTGATCAATTGAGGTGAACTCAACTTATCCCATCAGTTAAGCTTAGGTGAGGTAAACTGATGACCGTCCACCTTCCCATGCTATAAGATGGTCAAGTCAACTGATAGTTGGCCATCTGTCCACCTGCTGCAGTCAACTGTTCCACATCCGTTCACGTTGAGTTGAGCTGAACGTGAACGGATGTTAGAGGAATGCAAATAGCGTGTAAAAGAGGAGACGCAGACAAGACTTGACTGCATCTAACATAAGTTGCTCCTGAGTAACTTACGATACACACAGCTTTGCCAAAAAATGCAGAAAAAATCGGCGCGAAACTGCACAACCGCGCCCGAAAAGGAGAGGATCGATGAACAGCTGATTTTGGCGAGGAAAACATAAAAACAGATTCTTCTCTTTTTTGTAAATCTTACTGATTTTTTCTCACTGGCTGTACAAGACGAGAACTCATTTATTCATTTCATTGAATACACGCTACTATCATTTCGTTTTTTCATAAAATTTTCGTCACAAATTGTGTTTTTGTTTTATCCGTGTATTTGCTTGGCGAAGTCCTTGATAGCGATCATCATCGGTTGCCATAGTGGCCGCTATCAAAGATTGCCCGACGATGCATCAAAAAGCGAGTTGGTAGACGGAGTCGAACCACGGCCGCGCGCGCGTAATTCCAATCGCTTACCAGTTTGACCAAACCAGCTCGAGTGCTTCTTTTTCAAGTACACATTTGATTGCAATGCCTCGGCAGTGATCCGCATCCAAATCAATAGCTCGCCGTATGCTGGACTGAGGCGCGATGACCTCAACTGCGGTCCGCTCGAGAGAGATGCCTTGATGGGGGGGTTTACTACGGGCCATTGTGTGTAGGGTAACATATTTGGCACACCCTCTATTTCAACGTGCGAACAGATTAATTATCGTTATGACAGTGTCAAGTATGAGATCTGTTTCGAGCCAAGCGCTTTCGATATCATTGTTGAAATGTTTACTACAATAGCTTTTGCAGAAGTGCGCTTAAAATGCATTTTTGAAGAGTCGGGCTAATCTTATTCAGACAATCGAAGGGATACCTCCGGAGTATAAATGGGGTCCCGGACTCTGCCCAGCGGGGGTTTGCCACTCGTTCTCCGGATCCCTCCCATTTCACCCATTTTGGTGCTCCGGGGCTCCTCCAAATCCGCCACCGTGACGTCATAAGAAGGCGAATGGGACCCCTCCCCGGGGCTCGCAAATCTCTGCTCCGGGGGTGCGCCAGATTTGGAGAAGCCCCGGAGCACGAAATGGCAGACCCCCGCCATTTGCCCTCCGGAGGCATCCCTTCGACGGTCTGAGTAAGTAAATAAGTGAAAGATAAAGTGGGAGTATTATTTCTTAGCTGCTTCACCATTCGCGAAATTAAGGAATGTCAATGTTGAGGAACTAAGGAATGTTCAAAGGAGTGTGAAACATTGTGCAAGCAATGCGGGAAACTCGGTGTTGGGAATCTACTCGTTTTTACACTAAGCACATCCGGTGCATTTGAAACCTTTCTTTGACAACGCTTAAGTTGACAATGGCATAGGATAATCTTACTTATGTGTTGAGATAGGACAGTCGTTCATAGTGCGATGCCTCTTGTGTCTTTATGTACTATGCTGGTCGAGAATCTTGACATTTCTATTTCGGATTATGATGAAGAAGATTTTCATTTCGTTGTGCATCTTTGACGAGAAAAAAGATCTCAGTTAGGAGACTCGAAAGTCACTGGAAATTAGCAATAACACAAAAGAATAATCCTTCTTAACACGGTCATGCATAATATAGAACACCCAGTAGTGAAATGGTAAAGTCTACTTCATCCGCTAAGATCACCACTTCTCAAGTGGTATTTATCAGTCTTCCGCTCGCTGTTCAGGCGCGTTGCATCATTATACACGACCCGAACAGGCGAGAGTGTTAAACCCGTAATTTGGTTAAAATGACCGAAATGGGCAACAGCGCCCGCCCCCGAGAATGGGTCGCGAAATTTTTAAAACTTGCCTATATGGGTTATAAAAATGTGCAAACGACTTGTTTACTTTTGTAAATAATTAAAATAATTTTTTAAATTTTTTAAAAATTCAAATTAGCCTTATAAAAAAATATTTCGGGGGCGTGGCTGACGCACGCCCCCTTTTTCCAGATTTTAGGAGTTGGGGACCCGCAAAAATTTTGAGAAGTACTCCAGAAATTTTTTCGGAGCTTCATTTGAAAAAAATTTTCGTCGCCCCCCCCCCCCCGGTCCGAAATCCTGGGACCGCCACTGGTTGATACGTATTGTTTTCATTGAGCCAAGAAATAAAACTTTATGACTACTTGCACATTTCTACAATTCTAAATTACCCCAGAGCTATGCATAGTTCTACAGTACAATGATAATCAATGCATTACTGATGTTTAGGACGAATTGACGTTCGTAGCACTTTTTTGAGAAAAATGACTTTAACTCCTCGATCTGACTCTACTATTGCTGATGTGATCATCAAAAATGCATATAATTATTAGGTTGTCCGGAAAATAATAGTGTCGCATAGCTCACGCATGGACGAGACACACTTTACTGTACGAGACACTCGCATGCACATTTTCACGGATTTTTCACGGCTGAAAATTGAACGAAGTTCGGCGTATTTTTGCCAAAACAATCAGCTTCTCTCACATGGGTGATTGTTTAGTATGAACCTTTAGGAGCATAACTATGAATTTTCGGCTTTAGGCAAGCGCTAGTTCTCGAGAAAAATCAGACTGTTTGCAAAAAACTCGAAAAACTCGACATATTCGCACTTTTGACTTATTTTTTCTTCTCGTACTGTAGCCATGGAAAAATACCACAAACTATGCAGATGAATGTCTAGTGTGGAGAGTACATGCTTGTGCAAATTGGAGATCCATAAGACGTCTATGAACGGAAATGCGATTTTTCGGACATCAGGAATTTTTTACATTTTGGATTCAAACTTCAAGTGGAGCACGATTGCCGCGGAGGTTTGTAAACTATCTTGTAGAGCTTGCTTTGCTCTATCAAATGATAGCCAATTCGCTGTTTTTTGTGGTCATTCTGTCGCGGTAGGATGCCATGCGACATTATTTCCCAGACAACCTGATACAAAAAGCTCGAGGTCTAAAAGGAAGGAAAAACAATTAAAAAAAGAGGGTTTTCATGTGTTTGTAGCATGCAAAATTCACGCCAGCAGGCATTTATCGTAGCCCCGCACGCGTTATTGGCGTGGCGCTCACCACAGTAGGTTCCCGAACAGGCATGAGAGCGATGTGCAGGAAATTGATAAATACCGCCCCTTAGGGAACATACTGCATGGTGTTCCATTCATAGTTTTCAAGGTCCTTAAATATTAGTAGACATTTTTCTCATTATACGCACCAAATCTGGTACCATACCATTGTCTGTTCATTGTAATAAGCTATTAGTTCATAAAACAGTTTCTGCGTTATGCGCGATCGCGCAAGAGTGAATGTCTGATAGCCGTGCTTGACTTGTTTGTTTTGTGAGAATGTCTGAAGAGTAACTTTCAACAGAGAGTTAACTCTGATCTTTTTTGGATTTTTTCCTTACGGATCCGCACGCAAAAAAAAGTCGCTTTGCTTTTTTTTCTTCAATGAAATCCGGTCTTGTTTCTGCTCCAGCTGTGACGAGTTATGTCGGACACATATATATTATTAGGTCATTCCGAAAGTAATTACGCTTTTTTCAAAAAGGTGCACAATTGGAGGAACAAAAATTTCAAAAGAGCTTGGTAGCTTTCGATATAGCATCTCAGCATCCCAAGACCTCTTATAAATCCTTGCTTCATCAATTGTGGCGCCCCTTTGAAAAAAGCGAAATTACTCTTGAAATGATTCAATATATTAGTAGCACCGATTTGTAGCAGGAAAGTTGAGCGAAACCTAGGAATACCAGCGATAAAGCGCTTGATGATTTGCTTTACGGAACACTTCCACCATTTTAGCTTCTAAGGCCCCCGCCAGAGTGCCGAAGCCACGCCAGCACTAGGCCGGCGCCGAGCCAGCGCCGAGCTGTCCCGTTTGTTCGGGGCGGGGCTAGCTGACCCTGTGCAGGCAAGAGCTACCGGAGATTCTGGCAGATTCGATCAATAGTCGGTGCATCTACCTGACTGAGAACTAGGTCAGCCAGCCCGCCCCAACGAAATACACGTGTATCGATCGAAACGGCGCCGTGGCAGCTCGGCGCCGGCGCAGCGCCGGCATGGCTTCGGCACTCTGGCGGGAGCCTAAGGGAGACAAAAGGCAGACTTTAGGCCTTGATTGGAAATAAAGGACTGCTAACAAACCTTTCCGGCACCATTTTTAGAGTTTTATGTCCAAGCCTGAAGAGTGTGGGACTTTCAAACACTCTAAACTCCGTACAGGTTCCTCTTCCACACTTTCGTTCAAATCGCTCGCTTCCTCCTCTGCTTCCTCAGCAGCTGTAAGTTCTTGCGCATTCGCCAGGTTATCGACAGCGATAGCCAAAAATACATTCAACAGTGTGTCTGAAGTGTGCAATAAATCATGTTCTAGAATTCTGAAAAAAGACGAGATATACAATTTCCAAAAAGCACAAGAATTATGAAGTAGATGCAGTAGACCATTCCTCCCCCATAAATGCCTCCTTGAGCTTCTATAGCTAGATACATAATCTCGTTCCAATCTTCACCAGTCAATATCTGTAAAAATCTAAAGTTGATGCAGACTCGTTTATAGGTATTCTGCATGATATCCTGTGTTCACACCTGGAATACGGTAATCAAGGCCACTGAGAATGTATCAAAATGGGTGTAGGGATGCATTGATGGAAAGTTAAACCTGAATTGGAACATGGCAGATCATCAAGCACAGCCCTGAGGTCAAAGCTCACTTTCCTCCAAAAAGCTGCATTCCAAGGAGAGCGAATATTACAATGAAAAGAAAGAGAAGAAACAGCAAAGAGATTATACTGCGCATTGAATTCATCAGGGATCGAACAAAATTGCGAAGCGATACCCAATATCTAAGAAGTGCGGGTGAAAGAAAATTCGAGCATTATGATGTTACATACGATGTTAATTTGAAAATCCTCAATAGACGCAGCGCACGTAGGACAGAAATACCAAATGAAACTCCATTTACTTCAGCCCAAGCAATCTCAAATGCGGAAGTGACAATTACTAGGCAGTCGAAACGATTAAACTAAACATAAGTTTGTGATGGAGTGCTTTCCGAATGGAAGTTCAACAACCTTGGACGCGAAATAAGAGCGAGTGCCCATGGCAAACAATTTGAGCATTACTTCGATCATGAAAATTCCAAGGAATACATATTCCGCATAATCTGTAATTTCAACACTTACTCTGGTTCCGGGCTGAAAATGAAAGCTACAGAAGGTTCATGCAAGACTATCGGGAAAATGGTCTAGCTACCTCGATTTCACGCAAACAAAGCGTATCTTTTTCGATTTTTTAAGCGGGGCGCTCAATCGCTTCAATGTGTTTCGCAAAGCGGTTCTTATGTCGCACGATTCTCTTAAGCAATACATAGCAGGGTATAAGGTCCTTCAATAGCATAGTCTTCCTGTTTGATTTTAGAAAAATTGACGATTCTAGAAAAAAAATCCCCGCGCCCTGTACGCGTGAAATCAGGGTAGCCGACCGATTATCGGCAACATATCAAAAATGATTTATTGGATTTACCAAACTAAAACAACAGAAGGTTGCTACAGTAATTTCATGCATTTTTGCCCTTCCTCACTGTCGAACCCATATTCTCATACCCGCGCAACAACAATGGAATAACTTACGTAAAAAATTTGTAAGCCACGTTGGCTGCCCATAATGTTCGGATGCGACACACACAGTATTGAGAAAGACCAGACCTATCACGGACCAATAGAATACTTGCGTCTTTACCAATACCCGTATCCGAGATCTGAATATCTTCTTACACGGGAAATCTTCCTTATGTACTATATGAGTTTGACCTTGCTCTACGAATTTGTTTACAGATGTGATAGTAGCAACCGTAGTGCCGTTTCTCTGAAGAAAAAATTCAATAATTGCAAGCAGTTAAAGCTTAAAGAGTATGTGCAGCAAGTATGGCCTGCATGTAATTCTGGAAATAAAATGGCGGTGATTTGAAGAAATTTCAAAAAGGGTCAATGATATTATTCGTCTAAGTGGACGCAAACGACACGATTCGAGAGATCCTTGTCTTGTCAGTAAAGCAACAAGTGATCTGCGTGGAATCTAATCTGCTTCGCTAGATAACCGCCCTTTAGAGGAATCTCAAGCCACTTATGAATGATTCAAAGTAAGATCCACATCTGAACCCTGTTCGCTGCTGAATCCGAAAATCACACTAAAGAGCGCGAAAACGGCGAAAAAATGATGCAAAAAGATTATCAGCAGGAGGGTGGGGTCTTCTATACCCTTGAAGTCACCCTCCCAACTTGTAGAGCGACTTCGCGATTCCGACCAGAGCTCAGCACGAAGGTGGCAAATGGACTTCGGTGAAACACTTCGTCTTTGCCATTATCAATTTTTACAATTTCCCATTTGATCCCGCCAGCTTGCAGGTTGTTCGATTAATGTGCGCTTTGTTCCTCCAAGAAGCTGCCGTCGTTACGTCGTTTACGACGTAAGATGCCCAGATTCAGAGAAGAGAGAACCTGGAGTTTACCTGGAAACAGAAAATTTGGTGCACACATGAATCGAACCTTAACAAATATAGCGCAGCTCTTGAACTTTGAAATTGGCTCTTTTGGTTCCAAAGGAGCCCTTCACAATCCTGGCAAGTCTGACTGTCGTGGCACGAAGGCAGTCAAAATGGAATTCCATGCCATCACGATAACTGTTTCTTTCACTAGGCAAATGTGCAGTATGATAGAGCAAGGCTTTTGGCTACAACATATTTTACGAAGAAATTTTTTCGCGAATTTTGGAAAAAATTTTGGGAAATTCAAGTGAAGGCAAGTGTACTCGCATACTGGAAATTTGGATGCGATTGCGCGATCGTGAGCAAAAAATTACAATCTAAAAAGTATGAATTTGCTCCATCAATCAAATTCAAATGGATGCTTATACAGAAGACTCACTCATAGAATAAATATAGCCTAATACTCGGCACTTGCTGCGCTCTTATAGCCTTAAAATTTTGATTCAGAGAGAAATGGCCACTGGCACGCAGGTAATATTAGAATTTTTATTTTGCGTTTTCAAAGGAATAGTTTCTGGTAAACGCAACTACTACGGTGTGATAGCGCAAAGCCTCCTCTAATTTGTGTGCAACAAATTATTGAATGTTCACAGATTTTGTAACTACGAAATAAACTGTGAAACTAAAATGCTTGATAAAACCAATTCTTCCAACTGAATATGGCAAGCATTTTCAGCTATGTAAAGTGTGGTTTGTAGAGGACGATCGCAGTATTATGTGACACAAATTTGGAACTAACAATAAGATTATCAGTAGTTTCGTGATTTACAACCTGTAAACTCGGCTCCCAGACTTTTGCTCCACCCTGTATATGCTAAGCTTTAGGTGTAGAGCAGGTTTCGAAAAACTTATGTGAATTGGAAGTTTTGCCTACCTCATGTGGGCATCAGATGGGCAATTGCCCACCTAATTTGGAAAAGTTGGGTACGCTCTTCATTTACACAAGTTTTTCAAATTTTTCATACTTTGCCCCTTAGTTCTACTGCATGTATACATAACAAATCTTGCGCGATTTCGCCATCTCTGCGTTGCAAACGAGCCATTTTTCCATTTTTTGGTAGCGGGAATTTTTCAGAAAAAAGCTGCCACACTCTTTATCAGTCAACTTCTGCAGCTCCGTGCTCATAAAAGTACCAAATTTCATACAATATCGCCATATCTGCGTTGCAAACGAGCCATTCGAATTCATATCTTCATTCATTCGAATTCCATCTTCATTCAGCAGTTATGCAAAATTTTTCGAAAAAATGCTTATTACACCTTCCATACACACAAGTCTCATAATTTTTCATACTTTGTTTCCACAAGCCTATGTTCGTTCGCTTACGAGATTGGTTGCCACATTGTTACGCTTACATTGAGAAATAGTCAAGTATGCTGTCCCAGAAGACATTAAGCGACGTCGTCGCGCGAACATGGGCTTTTGCGTAGCTGGCAGTCAGCGTGCGGTCTGACGCGCGCGAACTCTGATGTGCCTTTGTTGAGGCATATGACATGTTGAGATAAGCAGAGAGCAGTGATCACCACTTTTCCAGGGCTACGCCCCGGACCCTGCAAAAACGATGTCCCAATTGCATTTGACCCCAATACGATTTCCAGCTCATCATTTGCCCATCTCATGCCGGGTCCTTTTCGACTTTAAGTCGTGCTCGCGCATGGTCGGTGGCGATGTAAGGGCGGCTGCTCAAGTCCTACATCAAACCCACTTAACCAGTGAAGCTACACAGTGAATGGATTTTCCTCCTTCAGACGAGATAAGGAGAGCAACAATTTTCAAAAGTTGTCTTGAAAACATTGCGACTATCGCACCGTCATTAACACGATCCTGAAGCATTACTTGACGACGCTCATAACGCTTTGAAAGAAGCACAGGCTATTGAAAACACTGCACCATCATGCATTTGAGATGATCAAACTGCTCTCTAATATCCAATCAACTCTTTCCACTGGTATAAAAAATTAGCTCGGTCTCCACAGAAACATACAAACCACCAATCACAACAACCCATGTATATTCTGCTGCAAATACCGTAGCTATATCCTGTTTCGCCTTCCTCGCTGTCTACATCGTCTTCAAGTTCCTCCTCATCTTCAAAATCCTCATAGGTCTCGACTGAATAGTTTCTTAACGCAGTTTTCAACTTCTTCCTTGTCTCTGCTCTACGACGGCCTAAACAGAGATAATGTAAGTGTACTTTCAAAGAAGGGAGAGCGTTGGGTTGATGCGAAACTGATGGCCGTTTTCTTTACCTTATTTTCAAAGTTGCGTTCCTTCTTTTCTCTTCCTCGTACTCCTAGTAAACTAAGTAGGCTTCTACACAGCGCGCCTCCTATATATCTCTAATGCCTGCCCTTGTCAGCTGCGAGGTAAGTATGTTTGTTTCACGATTCTATGAATGCCATATACATTTGTGTATGTGTGCATGTTTGCCCCTCCCCCCCCCCCCCCCGAGAATGGGTCGCGAAATTTTTGAAAGTTACTTACATAAGTTATAAAAATGTGCAAGAGACTTGATTTTACTTGTAAGTAATTGAAATAATTTTTAAATTTTTTAAAAATTCAATTTACCCTTATAAAAAAAATTTTCGGAGGCGTGGCTGACGCCACGCCCCCTTTTTGTAAAAGTTTTGGGGTGGCTGACGCCACGCACCTTCATCAGAAAAAAATTTTTGTCGCGACCCCCCCCCCCGAGCCGAAATCCTGGGTACGCCACTGATGTTTGTGTATGTTTGTGCGCAAGTATGTATGAGTGTATCGTCCCTTCTACAGATCGTGCTACCACTGGTCTGCGTCTCATACCTGCCACGTGTGGCTAACATGTTGGCAACGTGGCAACAACATGTTTGCAACATGCCCCAACATGTTGGCAGAACATTTTGGCCATGCCAACGCCCGGCGTATATCAGCGCCGCAGCCCGCCAAACCTGCAGGCGGAGTGCGCATGTAGCGTTCGCACCTTTTCAACTGATAGTGTTTTTGCACCTTGATCGGCAGTAGCCTGTAAGTTTGTGTATATATAAATACATGTGCATGTTTGTATGCAATCCTTGGATTAGTACGCCTATTTGTTGAATTGTTCGTCATTTAGACATGTTGAGGCCATGGATCATAAGCCTGTTGTATCGACCCATACACCAGTTCGAATTGCTGTACAGACCTCGACAGAACACCCAATCGCTTATCTGTATAATGTGCTTGGCGTAACTCCACATCCTTGTCACCTCATGGTATGAGCTATTCACCAAACACTTTTTGTGTAGGAATAAGTGACGCTTTGTTTATAAGTTTGTGCCAAGTATACTATTAAAGTACTTCACGACTATTCAAAAATAGTGATTACATTTGAAAAGCTTGGTATGAACTTGACTACAGCCGAAAAATTTTCCAAATACAGCACATTTTGCGCGCGTGAGTGGTCGGCGTCAAATGTAGTATTGTTCACGCGCAAATTTTGCCGCTTTTCTGACCAAAAGCACACTATATTAAACAAAAAATCTAATCGGCTGTAGTAATCAGCAAGTGCAAATGTCGACTAAGCAGCCTTCAAATTTCTAAAATTCTTTTGAAATGGCGCAGTGGTGCCTACGCTGATTCCTACCGTGATCTTATGGCAATAAATAGCGATTGGTATTTGACTCTATAGAGAGTCTGAGATAAAACTCTGAAGAAGGTTATACTTCAAGGATGGCAAAGGCTAGGTAGGTGCCAGAGTAAGCGAATATTTTGTTCAAGTTGGGGTCCCGCGCAGAACTGGCGTTACTAATCATTGTGGCACAACGCCAAGTTGGCATTATGCCACAATGATTAGTGATGCCAGTTCTGCGCGGGACCCCAACTTGAACAAAATATTCGCTTACTCTGGCACCTACCCTAGGGACTGAGAAGATGTCCTACAGTCAAACCAAAGCGGAAAATCCTCAAGCGATATCCATTCATAAAGACGACAATAGGGAAATTTGCAAATCTTTTCTCCACCTTGTTTTCGCCTCAACACATGCTCGATCATTTTGCTGATATTTTCAAGTCCTTTTAACCAACTTTCCTAAGGACACATTTTTGTTCTTTGTTATCAAACTGACGGAAGGTACAAGAGAATTAGTAGATGGTTCGCAATTACCTTTCTTATACAGCTTGTTTCAAGAAGATATGCACCGTGTTTGATCGTTGATAACTCTCTTGTTCTCCTGTCCTTTGTTAAGCTTGAGGCACCATTCTGTAGAGCGAGGTTCAACTTAGATGGAAGTATGATCGAATCATCAATCACTCTTCGTTACTGTAGAAATACGATATGAGCTTCGAGAGGGATTTTGGAAAAGTGAAGGCAAGTTTTGTACTGAGCTAGAAGTCGCTGATTCTAGATGTGAAATTTGCACCTCGTTGTAATGCTTCTCTCATAAGATATTTCAAGTTTAGGGTAACAACTGTTTTTTCAACTTTTGTCGAAAATGTGACTGCACCACTGGGAAAGATCGAAGGGTTAGTGGGAAGTTACGTGGTGTAATCAGCACGCCTAAAGACCTTGCTACACCAACTTCTAGATTATTTTGTACTTTTTTTTAAATCAAAAGGCCCACTTCACAATGGCGCAGTATGCTGAGAGTTTTTATTGTAATCCTACATTAACGAAAAGTGATTGATGATTCGCTCCGTACCGCAAATCTGTGAACCTCGCTCTACAAAATGGTTTACCAGTTCGGCGGAAGACATGCAAACAAGAGAGCAGGGCTCGACACACGAGCTGGCACCAGGAAGAAATCCAAACGAAGTCCTCTTTGATTTCGCAAAAGTAGTACGAAGTACCCTTTGACCCTTTTTGCCCCTCATTTCTCTGCATTTGGGTTTTTGTCCTTCATTCTGGATGGGATTGTGGCTCGACCCGAAATAAAGCGCAAGAAGCCGAAAAAATCGAAAAACCTACGGCTCCCTTCCTTCACCCTCCATTTTCCTACCCCTCCACCTCGCCCTCTCCAACCTCTGCAGATGGGACAAACAAAGAAAAAATAACAAAGAAAAAAACAGAAAAACAAAGATAATAAAGGAAAAGGATAAAGAGCGCACGGCGAAAATGAAGGATTCGCGCGTCAGTTCACAAGGGCGCGCTTTGCGATTGGAGCAGAGCTTCAATGAAGATTTTTGAGGACTGTAAAAAAGCCTGGAGGAGATATTATGAAACCGTTTTTTCTCTGTATGACAACATTTACAATAAGGATACTATTTTTGTAAAAAGTATGAAAACTTATGTGAGCAAAGGGTCGGTGCCAGTTCAGCTGGCACCCTGCTGGCGCGGTGCCAGCTAATTCAGAAAAAAAGTTCAGCACACCTCTCATTCACATAAGTTTTCATAAATTTTTGGGTCATAGTTCGGGTCCCCCAACGCGCATATACACATCAAATTTGGTGTCATATGATTGTGTTTTGTTTGTAAACAAGGCTTTTGTTTATAAGGGGCAGGATTCAAGAGTTCCCGCGCTGTGTTAGAACCGGCATGTCGGCGGTGTACCGATGGTGCCGTTGACATGCGAGGTAGCATAATGCCGACATGCTAACAAACAGCGTATAAACACTAAGCATGCCGCTGGCATGCCGGCGGCTTTCAGGCCGCGTGTCGGCGGCGTGTCCCTGGCATTCTAGCAAACGGCGGCATGCTAATCCGCAAAAACGACATAATTTCTGCTTTCAGCCCAAAAACGATATCCAGCTTGACCCAGTGCCAGCTGTGCTGAGCCCTGCAGGAGAGTCATCAACGATCAAACAATGTGCACATCTTTTTGGACACCTTGTATAATTAATGCTCATCTCATAACCTCGATGTAATCTCGTTCAGGCTGATATCTCATTGATAGTTGAATAAAGTAAAACGAAGAGCACCATACTTTCGAGAATTGCTTGTTTCTCTTCCTCTGTAGTTCGATCTTCTCTGAGTATCAATTCTTCCGCGGCTATGATCCAGTGAAGGTAGTCGCTGAGTTCGCGCTCGATCTGTTGTTGTCGCCGAAGCTTTAGGAACTCACGGCGATTTTCTACTCTTTCCCTCTCTTTCGCAAACTCTCTGAAAGGTGAAATTGCAGTAAATCTACTGTTAAGCAGCAGCTGTGCTCAGGGTAATGCCCGCAAATGCTGATTTCGCAGCACACGTCGACCATCACCATGGCTTTTACTTACCCTGACAAAACTCCGAGAACGAGATTTAACAAGAAAAACGATCCAAGCACAATTAGCGAAATAAAGTAAGCCCAATTGTAAGTGCTGCCCAGCGAATCATTGGTCTGAAGATTCGGTATTCTGACCCACCGGATATGCAGTGCCTAACTTTAATTCTTCGAATTTCTACAGGAAGAAATACTGCGGAAAATTCGAAAGGGCTTGCTTTTTTGGGCATCTCGGTGGGTTCAAAAAATGCCTTTTTTCAATTTTTTTTGCCCCCTAAATGTACTCTGTTTACCCTTGCTGTATAGTGCGAAAAATTTGCAATGGCTTTTTGCTTACAATTTTTACAAGGTATAAAAGCTTTAAACGACCATCCAAGTTTGCAAAGAAATCTCTCAATTCAGAATTTTTCAAAAATTTTAGTTAAGGAAATGTTCTGTAGCACAAGCTTGCAATCGTTAGGCACATTTTTTGAAATAAATTCGGTGGTTATTCAAGGATTCAGGAAGAGAGCAAAAGGAAAAATTCTAAGATTTAGTCTACTGCTTTGAACAAAAATTTAGAAAGGACCTAGACTTAAAAGAACTAGGTGGAATGCTCTTTTAAATAATATGGAAAGTTTGAAATAGTTGCTTCCGCTTTGGAAACCGGCCTTTGAAAGAAGAGTTACGAGAGTTGTATTGATTATGAATCAATCTAAGAGATCAGCGGAAGTTAGCCTATGACCTCCTACCCCATAGTAAATGTTTGCAAAAATTAGCCTCGATCGTCTAGATGGAATTTTTGCATGGAACATACTATAACTTTTCAAAAAAATTTTTCTTTGAGGAATGAATTCAAGAAAAGATCACCCTTTGGGATATGCAAGCATGGGTATCACTCACGTAATACATTACTGTGGTCCATCCTTCCATGGTAATGCATTGAAAAACAGTAATCATGGCGAAAGCGATGTTGTCAAACGAAGTGATACCTATCGTTCAAATGATGAAGTTGTCAGATTATCATTCAGACATAAATTAAGTATGGGAGATTACCATAATTCGGCCCTATCCATTTATTCAAGCATGTAGTGCCAACGTCACAGTTGTGCACGCCCATAACGGTGGTTTTATTCGTGCTGGAAAAGGGCCAGCATAAACCACTGCAAGGCAAGGGACATACCTCAAGCGATTTTAGTCGCCACGCGATCCGGCAATTTGCCAGATGTCTTCAAGTTCAATACAGGTAGACCCCAAATGCACAGCATGTATAACTTTCGTGGGTTGATAAAATGCCCCATCTTCGTACATTCAGAAACCTCATAGAATGAGTTATGAACATTTGGAATATTGCCAAATCGCGTGAGGCATGCCCGAAGCCTAACAGACTTGTCGACAAAAATCGCCGAAAAAGCATGCCTACCAAGGTGATGGTCTCTCGCTGATGTCTTCGATTTCACCCCGGTCATTATAACAAGCTGAATGAAATGCTCCTGAGTAGAACTCGAGGCCGATAATAGCGAAGATTATAATAGCGAATAACACCAGTAAGCCGATTTGGAGAAGTGGTGCCATAGCGCATAAAATTGATTTGAGAACGACTTGCAAGCCTAAAGATGCCATGCTGGGTAGTTCGTGAATCAAGAACGTCAAGCCAGCTTCTTGTTCAGCTTATCAGTAAGCTTTTTTAGCGCAGATGTTTTGTGAGTTCTCAGACAACCACTCGGAACTTTCGCTGGGAATTCAGAATTTTCGGGGAACTCTCTCAATCAGGGCCGCATAGCATCCGCGTCGGAAAAATCGCAGCTCAAAAAAGCTTCATATATAGCTGAAGCTCCAGGTATCTGAATTTCACGCTCTCCACCTACCCTCGAGTATTTCCTATTATTCTCCACTTCAAACATGTTAAGGAAAAAGTATGCCAAGGACATCCAAAAAATCATAAAAATCATAGCATGTCGAAAAAGATAATAGTTTTCTTGCAGTAAGGACCAGGTCGTTCTTCTTCTTCAAGTAGTGAGGATGCCTCTACCGAATTTCTTTTCCTTTGCCCGGACGCAGTACGGGACGGCAGAAAATACCAGGGCTTGTCTGGCTAACTTAACCCGTACCTGTAGCTGTACAAGCCGCATTTTCTAGCTTTTTCTATGATCACCTGAAAATCCCCAGCGGCAGGTTATTTTTCCTTTTCTTTCATTGAAGTTATTAAAAACAATACAAAGTTGTACTGACTATCTTACTCAATCATGCTAACAAGGGAAAGATACCAACATTAGCTGGCAATTGAAGATGAGATGTATATTGGTAGATGCGCCTTTAAACGATGATTCCAAATCTGCTTTCCATTTTTGCGGAATAAGATTCCGAAAGAAGTTATGAGCGTTTGAATGTCCAGATTTGCCAAGCATTCAGTGGCTTAAAATCAGTGAAAAGCTCTGAAATAACACCTATGCGATTTCCACCGGCTTTGTTCCTTCCTTGCAAACAATACACTCGAGACAAAAATGATTTTCCACTTTCCGGTGTTTTTGTACAGCTTTCCGCCAGTTTTATGCCACCTAAACCTTGACAAATATGGACATTTGAATGCCCACTACTTCTTTCGGAATCTTATTCCGCAAAAAATGAAAGCAGATTTGGAATCAGCGTTCAAAGGCGCGTCTACTGATATACATCTCATCTTCAATCACCAACTAATGTTGGTACCCTTCCCTTGTAAGCATGTTTCTGTCATGGAGACAAATGATGTATTGGAGTTATGAAATTTGCGATGAACCACAATTCGAAAGTTAGGTCATCGAATAGTTCGATAATATTAGGTTGCTGCAAATGTAATGCGCGTTTTGCGAGTCCTCAAATTGACGTGCTATATCTTTTTAAAAAATCTGCATTTTTCAATGCGATAAAGATTATCAGATGCGACAAACCTTTCTCAATACAGTGCACATCCATTTATATTCATATCACAAACGCGCAGGAAAACGTGGATTGATAAGCAAAAACAATTTTTTCTGAAAAATCGTTGTTGACTGATCATAACTCACTTCAAAATTTGTTAGTATAATTGATATGTAGCCTGTCCTGTAGCCACAGTCTAGAGTACAATCAAAAAGGTATGAACAAAAAAAATTCGCGAAAAATTGAAATTTAATATTGTAGCTTTTACTCAGCATTTTTCTGGAGGCCTCAAAGTCCCTGCATGTGAAGTTTTTTGTTTTACCTATCGAAAAAGCTGAAAGCTTTTTTGCAAAAACCGTAAACAGGAGGACTACCCTCAATCTTATGAAAATGAAAAGCTTTGGCGATTGCCTTCCTCAAAAAAAAATTTATGAACCATAGCGAGACCAAAACGATTATCCATGTTGAGGCCCCGATATCACAGTCTAATTCTAGGAATATGGAAAATGCATGATGCAGACAATTTTCGTCACATAAAGCGGTTGAATTTTCGAACGAATGCAGTCATTGGCCAGAAAAAAGTGCAAGGAAATTTTGGTTTTGAAGGCGCTTGTAAAGCTCTGTAAATCTTCAACGAATGGGGTTGAAAGCCTGTTCTAACCACCATCAGATAGAGCATGAAAAGAGCTTTTTGAAGTGCGCTGACGATAAGTCTGTTCCGAGAAAGAACTTTGAAAAGGTTGTCTTAAAACAAAGGCTATACAAAAGGGCATTACTTTTGCACCAAGCTGGTACAATAATCGCTTCTCCAGCATCCTGCTTGCGATTAGCATTGTTCATTTACATAAACAGTGCAACTCTGGAATGTTTTTATTGACACTGAAAAAAGAAAAATGCTATTGAAAGGAAGACGTTGGCCGCGGAACTTGTCAGGATATCATGCAAAAAGCTGGAAAATGCAGCTTGTACAGATTCTCGCTCCTGCGCAATGTGTCTATAATGAAGGATAGTAGGAGTACTTCTGGTTGGATAAAGAGCGTGATATCCAGGTATTTGAAGCTTCAGGATATGAAGCTTTCTTTTGGGCTGTGATCTCCTCTACGGCGGGAATGTTGTATGCGGCCCTAAGAAGACCAAAAGAGATGACCATGGAGGAGGAGGAGGCCACAGGAGGAGGCCAGACCATGAAGGCCACATTGGCTCGACTTTTGTGAAGTTACCTCGAGCGGACCTCGAAGTGACTTCACAAAGTCGAGGAATGGGTTTCGGGAACTGAGCAAGCTGCTCAGCGGCGGTTTCTAAAATTTGCAGATGCCAGGTAAACACCCGTCCGGAACCTCCGGGAATTAATACGCGTCACTTAACCATTGATACACATCCTGTGCTAACGATAAGTGCGAATTCCGGGAATTAATACGCGTCACTTAACCATTGATACACATCCTGTGCTAAGTGCGAATTATGTTCTTGTTGTTTTTCAAGCTTGTTTCTATTAAGTTTTGATAAGTTCTTTTTGCGTTTTCGTGTTTCTATGTCCCTTTTGATATGAAACTGCTTTTGTCAATTTCCTCTTTTGTAAGACATACCGTTGCAAATCAAACCAACACCACCTTGGAGAAACTGCACTGCTTTAAAGGCAGCATCCGGGCAAGATTTCGGATGGAATTTTTTCGCTTACTGGGCTTATCCTTCCCCTGATCCCGAAAATGCAGCTCGGAGAGCACGAAAACGTCGAAAACGGTCTTTTCCAAAAGCTCTTAATTCGAATTTTGTAGCCTGCCGCCAAGATTAAGACGCAGAGTCTTTGTGGGACCCTACGTCTTGACTGTGTGCGGTATGCACTCGGCTTATCGAACTAACTCGTCCCCGGACGCTGGGGTGTTCTGGTCGCCACTTCTGAAGCAGTGTTCTCGCTTCGGAAACAAATGGGTGCATTGCCAGTTGGGCAAGAGCCTTACTAGGCCGGGCGCCCTGTACTCTACATTTTCATTTTGTCCGGACGCTGCCTTTAAAGTAAGATCTTTACGAGCCTCCCCTTGGAGTTGAAGGACAGCGAGCTAGATATATAACCTTTTTCAACCGGACATTCCACTCAAGGAATTGGACGACTGCATACTTAAGGTTTCAATGTGAACTTGGAACACTTTCATAAATTTATGTTTATATGTTTCTTCCTATTCCCTAACTTGATTTTTCATGTTTGTATCTCAAAGAAGTGGCTCTTGATCGCCACACTTGTTGGAGTCCTCTCTCCTTACCATCCTACTTTACTTTTTACACGCTGATAAACTAGCTCGGCTCCCTTGTAAGTTTGTCATCCATCATTAAATTTGAATCTTGCTGCCCTTAAGTCGCAGCCGCAAAATTTGCCAAAATAGTTAAGCCTGATCATGCGCTTAATCGCAAACACACTTCATTATGATTGTGACTGCGGCATTACATTCTCTCCAGGTGTCCGAAAGCAATTTTCTCCCACCAAGACCCCTCTATGGATCTGCTAGTTTCCGCTTGATAGCTTGTTCGTGAAGAGATGCAAATTTGCTGTAAACAGTGTGAAGTGAGCTAGGGTGCCATATAAGCCTGCATTGTGCCTCTTAAAGGCAGCGTCCGGACAAAATTTCGCCTCTGTTTTTGTCATTTTAGGGCCTTTTTGTGGTCCTGATTACAGTTATAAAGTTCAAATTATCCAAAAGCCTTAAAAAACCCGGTTTTTGGGGACCCTGTTTCAAGGGCGCGGACGGGATTCGAATCCTTCATCTCCTCTTCTCGCCAGCAGGAAGGAGCTACAACTGCATGGGTGCGGTTCCACTCCATGATCGATCGATGCGTGAGCACACGTCTTCAGGGGGAGGTTTGTGATACGTTCCACAGGCCCGTATCTCCTTTTAGAGGCCACGTCAAAAGATCGGATCAGCGCAGATCGATACTTGTGGGGCCCGCTTTACAACTATGTGCTAATCTGGGTGGGTGGATCTTGCCCAGACGCTGCCTTCAAAGAAGTTGAGAATCCATCTACACAAGATGAGTTACCGATGCATGTACACTTGCTCGTATGTCGTTATGTGTCAAGGTTTCCGTCGATTTTTATTTTCATTTATCGTATCCGTTTTAAAGGAATGTCTCTGCACCTCAATAAAAATTACCTCCTCAATTCCCCGATTTCGCTTCACTTATCAATACCGCTCTCCTTTAAGTTGTTGAATGATCATTTGGGCTTTCTATCTTCTATGTCTTCTTTCATTGTCTTCTCTACTTATTCCCGTGTTGTATTTGTCATTTTGGCACCGACTTCTAGTACGGAAAATATTTCTGGTCTTATCGCATTCAGATCTCTTTGAATCATTTTCCTTGCGGTAAGAGAGTGCTTCTATTAACATCGCGCTTTTTTCCATCTCATTGGCTGTTATCTTATTTGGTTATCTTGTGTGTCTACCTGTTCTCATCCTCTTATTCAATCACTTCAAGTCACTTATTTGTGTGATTGCCTCTCCTCGATATTTATGGTATTACTCTTAAAAGTGTGTTTGTTATTTTGTCAATATGAATGAATAGTATGTCTCAGTGTTCGCTCTTTTCGAGAAAAACAATGGCTTTTATTGGGGCTAGTCACAGTATGTCAAGCGTTAAAATGCTGGGGTTCGCGAAATTCAGTTTTTGGAGTTGTTTCCAGTGCGCAAAGTGCTGGGTTTTCGAGGATATCAATTTTTGGGAGACCTCCGACAAACGGTCTGCTAAGTTTCGCCAAACAAATGAAACCGCCGCTGCGGAGCTGCCGGTGCTTCCCAAATGCTAACCTCAGCATCGACTGTCTAGGTTGCGTTTTGAAAACCTACGGTGTTATCTGAACAACATATGAATTTTTATAAACATTGGTACAAATACTCGCCAGTATTGTAGTCATAAAATTAAGAGGAAATGCGCGAGAAACATTTGCGCTTCGAAAATCTATAAGAGAAAAAAATCAAGTAGTAGTATAGAGCACGCACAAGTTTTTTTGCTCATGGAACTTCGCGATTAAACTTCACCACTCACTGGGGATTCCGCTTACTAGCTTCAGCGGCCGCAATACTCTCACAGCTCGTAAGGTTCTCAAATCGACCGTTTCTACTTGCTCTGAGCCACCGTTTGATGCAACTGGCGACATAGGAAGCATAGTCATCACTCTAAAGACAAAGTTTTGCGAGATGCAGATGAGATGATGTTAAAGGACGATCTTCACTTATATAAACAGGGTGCGAAAAAGAAGTTTTTTGTCTTTGAATCACATCTATTGGAAAAATGAGCATCGGTAATGCGCCGCAGCACTTGAGCAAGATTTCTGGTCCGCGTATTATTTACTAAAGACTGAATCTAGTCCAAATAAGATAATGTTACACACAACTTCTCCCCCAAAACCCGACAATTATTGTAAATTGGTGGCCTGGAGTTGTTCTAAACAAGTAAAATTATAGATGCTGGGCTACAAAAAATGTCTGCCAGCGACTTTTGGATATTCTTGTTCTGAAGCTAGATCAAAGTTATGCTGTAAACAAGAAGTCAATTAAGGTGGTGAACGGAACAAATCCAGGTGAAGTAAGCTGACATGATTTGATAAAGGTAAATTCTGTGGATAGGCGCCGTCTGGATGAATAGGTTTCTAAGGCGATTTTGGTGAAGTGCTGAAAAGTGATCGTATCTTGGCGTTCTTGTCAAATTGCTAAAAAACTTGAGATATTCTCCGATAATTTCAAGCCGTTTTAGACTAACGCAAACCTCAGTGACTCCCATTTTTAGCACAATTTTTATCTACATGTCCCGCTTTATACTCCCGAGCAATGATATTATGTTTTCTCGACTACCTATGCAGTCGCAATTTTCTCGCGTTATCAATAGAAAAGCGTAACATCAGTCGCTGTCTTTGAAAAACTTAAGAAGGCAGACGATTGCGTATGAGAGAAAAAGTTTGTAATGAAAGTTTGTCTTTCATGAAGAACTTTATCACCGACCTAAATGTGAGATTAAAAAAGAAGCTAAAAATTATTGTTGACTGCATTTCAGACCGTTCATATTCCACGCGCCAGTGCACGCTTTTCACTCTTTGACGGTCGAGGATGTGCCGATAATGAGCCAGAAATTACAGTACTCAATTGCACTGTCCAAATTACACTGCATTATACTTGTTACAGTGCTCAATTGCACAATTTCACTATTTGTCTGTATTACTATTGCATTATAACTTACCCAGATACTACCACAATAAAATCCATGACGTTCCATCCAGATCGTAGATATGATCCTTTGTGTGCGACAAAACCAAAAGCAATGATCTTCAGAACACATTCTAAGCAGAAAATACCCATGAAGTACGGTTCGGTAAGCTCCTGAATGATGAAATGCGTATAGGTGATACGAGTACATACTATTCCCCATGCAATGCTGCAATACTAAGAGATGCGCTGGATTGGCACTAGATGACCTGAACTTTTCGAACGAGGAGTTCGTAATTTTGCCCCTTTTGCATTCTGCCAATTCCCGGCTCTCACTGTATTTGACAATCAGCGTACTTGGCTTCCTGGATCAACCTTCCCAGCAAAAAATTTGAAAGTCATAAAAACAAGCTATGCCATATAAAATCTCCTTCGCAAATTCTGCGCAATCTTGCCACACGTCACGAATTAATAGCTCGCAAAACGTTGAATTTTTTTTGAAATGCATCCAAAAACTGATGAAACGCCCGCATGAACGCATTGGCGTCGCCAACTGGCTTGCTTTCAAACCCTTTATGTATTCTATTCTAGGGGCAGGATCAGATTTTCACGGGGCAAAGTAGAAAAAATAAAGAGAGAACGCTAAAGGCAGCATCCGGGCAAAATCTCGCCTTTCATGTTTTTGTCATTTTAGGGCCTTTTTGTGGCCCTGATTACAGTTATAAAGTTCAAATCATCGAAAAGCCTTGAAAAACCCGGTTTTTGGGGACCGTGTTTTAAGGGCGCGGACGGAATTCGGATCCTTCCTCTCCTCTGCTCGCCAGCAGGGAGGAGCTAGAACTGCATGGGTGCGGTTCCCCTCCATGATCGATCGATGCGTGAGCACACGTCTTCAGGGGAAGGTTTGTGATACTTTTCACAGGCCCATATTTCCTTTTAGAGGCCACCTCAAAGGATCGGACCAACGCAGATCGGGTACTCATGGGACCCGCTTTACAACTATATGCTATTCTGGGTGGGTGAATCTTGCCTGGACGCTGCCTCTAACGACGTACTGCGCATATGCGATGGTTGCACACTTCACGGCTTTTACTGTAGGCACTTACTCACTTTTTTGGCTTAACTCTACCCTTGATGTTAATTTGTCGTCCAAAACATATTTGGGCACAATTGTTTTTGTGATCTTTCCTGATTCGAAAAAAATTGATGACGCGAAACGTCCGCCGGAATAGAGCTTGTTCGCAATCATAAGGCTAAAAAACTGTTAGAAGATACATACACACTCAAGTTTAGAGTATTACCATCGATATGCGACATTTTTGAAAGTAATCCTTTCCTTTGCAATTAGCGCCAATATCCTTCCCTTCACCACAGCAAACAAATTGAAGAAAATCAATAAATTAGACCTCAAGATCTATTCCTAGCAAGTTTATTCCATGCTTACAGTTTTTTAATCGATCTTCCTATTTGGAAGATATTTATTCAGAACATAAGTGCACACACTCGCACACAGACAAGCAGACTTTGGCCTTCATATTAGGTGTTGTCCCAATTAGAGAGCTTCCCTTGCTCTGCAGCAGAGGGTATAAAAATGAAACATATTATTCGATAGAGCAAAGGATAAAATCGCTTTTTTCCAGTAAAGTTTGCAAGCAAAGTTCAACGATTCATCAGAAGTCAGATCTCTGATTGAGCCGACCACGCTAAGCTGCTCCAGCTTGGTCAAGCTGTACTGCTGACATCAGGGTCGTAGTGAACCCCTTTCGGGACTCTCGAACTGTCACAGCAGGATTATGTCGTGACAGGTCGAAATATCTCGCAAGACTAGAGCGAGCTATGCGCCGGGCGCCGCAAACCTGCACGCTGGCTCCACGCGTCATTCAACCACTAATCCGCTATAGCACAAATCACGCGCACTGCGCTATAAGTATCAATATGTCATGAGGCATTTGCTAGATTTTTGAACAAGAATGCAGTATACTGTTCTTGCCAAAGCAGGTAGATCAATTAAAAGAGACCCAATAACTGATTATCTTGGTGTGAGCGCGCCCTCATTTCTCCATGTTCTACTCCATTATCTCGATGTGTAAATTAGTATAATTTCGAAAAGGGCGACATTCAGAGAACATCAAAATTTCGTATTATCGGTTAAACTTGAGAACCACCCTGTGCTAGCTTCCTGAAAGCTCCGTGCCAAGAGCTAGTTCCCCTAGGTGAAGAGGATTTTTACTTGAAAAGTGAAGGGGGTAGCTGAACCTCGAGGTGATTGCTAAAGTCAGCTTTATCGTCGACGGGGCTTGGAAGGAGTGTGTGTGTGTGGGGGGGGGGGGGGGGGAGGGAGGGAATAAGAGGTACAGAGAATCAAATGGAAAATTATATAATGCTTTAGCTTTGAGGTCAAAAAGACTTCTGATGCAGAGCATTTTTACTCTGGTACTAGGTCTGGATCCGTAAATTATTAGTAGTGTAGAAATAGTTACTACCTTTGCAATAACTGTAAAATCGCACGTATGAGATATGCCAACGTAACGCGTAGGCAGCGTAGGCCCTTCATAGGCCAATGTGAAAAAATACAAATTGTTGGTACAAATCTCACTCCATGCCGTCTTTTGCAGTTTGCTAAGTAGTTGTATTTCCATGCAAATAAATATTAGGTCGTTCCGAAGGTATTGTCGCTTTTTTCAAGAGAACGCTACATTTCGTGGAAACAAGATTTCTGGGAGATCTTGATAGAATTCAATGCAGCATTTCACTCTTTCTAATGGTTATATGAGCTTTGCAAATTACTCGATAAGCTTCAAAAAATTACCAAAATCTGCGACAAATGTTTTTTGAGAAGGTTAACACAATTTTTCTGAATTTTTACAACAATCCTCCGAAGGAGTCCAAGTAACAGGTGGATTGAGCAGACCCAATAGGAAACAGAGCGATTTTTTTTCTACTTTCCATGGCTCGTCATAATTTTTGGAATCACCGAATTTTAGCAGGCTTGTCTCAGACACTAATGCATCAAACACCAATAAATTTCGGATTTTGAGACTTACAAAGGCGAATTGTAATTTGACACTAATTTTACGAAGCAAATGAGCGTTTACCGTTTCAGATAGCAACTTTCGGAAATTTCCGGTACAGCCTGGGGCGCCCTGGAAAACGTAAATTATGATTTTATCCCGGAAAACTTTATGAATCGGAAACCAAAAACAGTTGGTAAAAAGAGGAGAAAAAGCTGCGTCGAATGCCACCCGAATTGCTTGCCGGTTGTCGTTCTGTGAGGTTTGAGTTGACCGAATATGGAATTTGATAGCACTGAAGAATTTATTCTGCAAACTCTAAGAAGCAAACTAAGAAAAAGAAAAAAATTGCTTTGTGTCCTATAAAGTTTGCTGTATTTATCTGTTAATTGTATATCTCCGGGGAATAGGTGCAAAAATATAGAAAAATAGCTGAACTTGACCATGACAAAAAGTATGAGTCCCAGTTTTGGTGATTTTTTGAGAGCTCATTAAATATTATGAAATGAAATTATTTGGATCATCGGTAAAAAATGGAGCACCTAGAGAATGAATGTAGATTTCTCAAAAAAGAAGAGCTATTAAACTTCCCAATTTTGATAGATGTTAGAATAAATTATTCTCTTTCAAATAGTACCTATATAAGGTCATTTACCTACCTAATAATTTTTATGGCTGAAATGCAAAGCTAGTCACCTTGACAAATTATAAACTTTGGGCAGTATCTGCGCAGTGAGACATGCGAAACCACCGATAGTACCACTGTTGCAATGCGTGAAGGTACAGTCATTAAACCCACGGTGGGTTGCTGGCCTCAACTTTCAAATCCAGGAGATATGGCCGTTAGCATCGTTGAGAACAAAGATACGTGCTATTCAATTCTTTGCAGGTATAAACGCACGTGTTGTAGGTACCATCTGAAATTTTGTCTATCTTTGGAAAATAAATACAAAAATCGATTTTTCAGGTATTTCGCTTTTTTAACCAGAAATAGGAAAAAACCTGTATGTTCAATAGACTATTTGAAAGAGCATGAAGAGCTCTTTCGAATGGTGTAGCAATTGCTCTATAACTTTACGGTATGGCAGCGCAAGAATGAGCGATGTTCAAAAAAACCTTGTTCGAGTTCTTCAGGGCGGCACGCATAGAATTGTGGGAGAGGAGCGTTGACGCTTTGCCAAAATAATAGGCGAAGGTCGCTTACATAAGCGACATTTACGTTGCAGCCTGCTTATTGTTGATCGGAACAAAAAAATCTAAAAATCTAAAAAATTCAAGCTGCCACCGACCACCCTAATACAACTATTAAAAAGAGGACGAAATGCTGCATCGACTAATCCCAAGAGCTCTTGAAAATCTTGGTTCCACGAATTGTGGCGTTCATTTGAAAAAAGCGACATTACTTTCGGAACGACTATAAATCAGGAAATTTTCTGGTAGTAAAGAATGATTGGCACTCAGGACACATATTGAAAAAGCATGAAGAAAATCAAAATATCATTGATTATTTAATAATGTAGTCTGTTTAAAAAGTGCTATTCCATTAGTCATAGCGACAGACAACGCATCAGATGTACGCGATACTAAAAATGAAAGATAGCATAATTACGAGAAAACATGACCAATCTCAAATCTATAATTTTTTCGGCGGAAATAAACTCGCTTTTTTTGAATAACAGGGCGTGCAGCAGCAGAAATATTCAAAAATTGGGAAAAGGCACAGTGCTAGGACAGTCGCTTTCAGCTGTTGATATCGACAGGACTTTGATATGCTTTACAGAGAGCTGTGTGCATGTGTGACCTATTACGAGGTTGACGTAGTCAAGCACTAATCTTGCGCTATGCCTCTGCAGGTCCATGTCGGACAAGGTATCTCATCCTCGAGTTCATCACGACATGTCACAATGTCGCTATGGCCGGTAGTAATCCCCCCAAAGTCGTCACAACTCAAAGAAGACGCAGTCATGACCGCCCAAAACGAGTCACAACTTGGGCACGACGGACGTTGGCCACCCGCCGCAAAAAGTTCCCCAACCATCCGTCACCGAACTCGCAGACCGCATTGAGCGGCGCGCGCAGCCACTGAGCTATAGACATTGTTCTTGTCACAGCTCTGAGCAATAGAAAGGTGCATGAGGTGGAAGGATAGGCACTCAAGCTAATATGTGAAATTTGTAAGCAGCCTCATTTTAGAGGTGAGTTTCACCTGTGAGTATACATACAGCTATCACGTTGCTATCGTAAACACTACGTTTGCGATATCTTAAACGTGAGTGTCACTGCGAATAGCGCAGTGCTGTGTCGCACGATTTCAAGCTAGACGTGTAGGGCACAGTCAAATGACGGCAAATTTATTGCAAAGTGATATGGAAAAACACATGCACTAAGTTTTTTCTAGTGATTATAAGGATTTGAAAGGCTTTTGGACGGCGTGCAAACAAAAATATTGATAATATATTGAAAAATTTGCAGATTTATGATTTTACTAAATTTATCTGTACTGTGCTGCTGTTACTTAATGCTGTTACATTGGCTATAGTACCAAATCGTTTCCTTAGCCAAATGGAAGGATAGGAACTGGTGCACAGCTAGTGAAAAGCAAAAAAGACAAAAGTTTTGCTGAAAAGTGCATGGATTGCAAGAAATTGTAAAATCAAGGCATGAAAAAACAACTAGACCAATCTGACCGCAAAACGACTTCGAAGCGAAAAACGCTTAAGAGCAGCAAATTTGACAGCTTCTGCATGAGTACGTCGCCATGCAGACAAGGTGTCAACTTCCAACCAAATGTTCTCGCGCGTCAGAAATCGAGTTTTGCGCCTCAGAAGCGCACTTACACCTCGGCAAGATGAGGGCTCGTTTATCAAGATTGGCGACTACGCAATTTTCAGTTCAGCACTTTTCACATCGTTCATTGCAAAGGCCAAACAAATCCTAGGACCTTCATCCGACTCAAACAAGTGCTTCAAAATTCAATGAAAAAGCAGTTTTTTTTGCAAATAATGTGACTTATTATGCATTTTAGAGCAGAAAATGCAGTACGAATCTTTTTTTGAAAGGCGACTCCTTCCAAGTGTAACAAATGTTTCATATTTTGATGTTGTATATGTACAAAAAATTTGAGGTTCACAAAACGTAGTAATGATTGAAAATGAGAGGGTGGCTTTATAGCTGTGACCAGCCTTTGAAACCCGTTTTTTCAAACTTTTTAATTTTTCTCCGGCCAAAATCAATAAAATTGGGAGCCCTTCTGGTCAGTGGTGTGACGTTGGTTTGCGCACAAAATAGTGGTTTTTCAGACAATTATGAGCAAGAGAGAGCAAATTACAGTGATTTTTAGGGTGGCTTTATAACTATGGCCAGCACTGTATAGCGTCTAGTCTGCTATATGCATTGATCGCATCCGGCAGCAATGATAAAGGAGGCCGCTGTGCTTACCTTAGTTCAAGATTCACATCAGGCTTTGAGGCTTATGTCACAACACTCACGGCGTTTACTTGGGCCCAGGCATTAATATGCATAGTTGCTTTTTTTCCCATGACTGGGAACTGAATTGATAGAAATGGACATGCTCTAGCAGAAAAAATGCTGAACTGTTTTCATACAAGTTAATCTGCATGACAAACTTCTGCAATACAACCAAAAGTTTTGGCCTTCAAAATATTTAACCTTTAATTGGAGGAGATGCAAAATTTACCTTGAAAACCCCAAAGAACGACACTTCTATATTTTCAGCCTATCTCTGTTTTCCGAATCTTGATCATCGAAAGAAACGCAGATCATACACATAAGTGTCTAATTTGAGCAATAGGTGATCAAATTGGTGGCCCGTAAGATTTTTTGGACGTAAATCTATTCAAGATTTTGATTCAAACTTGACGAGAACAAAACCATTTGCAAGCTGCTGTCCATTTTGTAAACTTACTTTGAAAAAGAACTTGGCTTTACAACCCCAACCCGTCTAATCCTGTGCGAAGCTGCCGGATGAAACGTAGAGGTAACAAAGAGATAAGCCTGGAATTTGACATGTTGGAGAACACATGAGATACTGCGCGAGTTCGAGCGCTGCATGAAGACTTTGTACTCTATACTTGTGGAAGAATGATTTCATATCACGACGTCTACTCTGCCACTGTAGCGTAATGAACGTGCATTATTATGAGACAATCTTATATATGAAGCTGAATGTCTGTTTGTATGTGTGTGTGTCTGTCAGTACTTATGTTTCGAAGTTTCGAATAGAAAATTATATTTCTGAACCGATCCACACCAAACTTTGCACACATACATTTCGGGGCCGGGAGGACACCGAATGAATAGACATCCAGTTCTAAAGCAGAACTCTTGATATTTATGAAGTCCACAAAATCTTTTTCTTGTTGAATTCCACGATACCACCCTGCCAAGTTCTGTGGACTTGGCAGCTTAAGCCAAAAACATTCTTTTTTTAATCAAAGCCGTCTTAGCTTACCAGCATTTCGGAAAGCGGTTTTTTGTCGTTTTTTGGTAGATGTCGTTCCATCGCCAGTACGACACAGTTTCCTACAACATTCTACACATTTGGAGGCAAATACCTCTACAAAAAACCTCCACATTGACAATGCTGCACATAAAACAAGACGTTCATACAGGTCCTACGTACCTATGATGGTAAGTAGAATGAAGTACTCGAACGGGCTCCATTCTATAATAGCCTTCGCCTTCTTTCGTATAAAGTTATTCTCAGAAAAGATGAACAGCGACGACGAACCCTTAACACGGAGATTATGGTCAATTGAATCTCAGCTCAAAAATTCTTACATTCCTCCTACTGGTTAGCACGAGATATACGCACACGAAAATTAATATAAGCACCGCATGCTGTTTTTTTCACAACTGTATAGCAGCCGAAGGATTGCAAACACAATCGCGCGCTAGTTGCACGTACATAGTCGCGTTGTAAATCCTTTGGAACAATCATCAAAGTCTTATCACTGTTTGCTTACACAATCTACGAAAATTTCCGCAGGACAGTCAGAATTTGCAGCAGTTTCGCAGCACTTTATTCGCTATCGTAAGAGTGCACTTTCCAAAATTTGGGGTTTCCGCAGAAAATCGACGTCAGAGCGATTGGTAACCGAAACATGCGCAGCTCTCCCATAAGCGCTGGGAAAGCGCTGTAAATTTGTAGCACTCCAGCAGCACTTTAACCTGTCAGCATTTTCGCGGGATTTCAAGTGTGCTTGCACTTACGATTACGAGATAAAAAATGCATTTTCGCCGCAATCAATGAGTTCAAGCGGATTGAAGGCTCTTTGAATTGCTCACCATACCTTGGATAACTCGGTAAATTGCTCTTTTGTCCTTGAATCTGGGCATGATAAGATGTTAGTGAAGTAATTGTGTCAATAGTTTGTGCCCTCAGACCCTGTGGTAGAGACTTTATTGACCTTACGTTTCGACAATGTTGTCATCATCAGAGTTCTGAAAACGGATTATAGGCTCTTTGACTTGCTCACCATACCTTCAAGCACTTCCTCCCACTCTGTCAGTCCAGACCTAGTCTAAGACTCGCAGCATGAATACTCAAGGCTACGAAACAAACGAACCTCGACTTCACCGGCTACGACAAGACCGCAAATTTGGTCGTAACAAACGTCACTGAGTGTCACCCAATGAATCAAGTTTCCTTTTATCAACCTAAGCTCACATAATGATATGATGTGGCTAAGTCACTACTGATAGACAAGAACTCATTTTTGACATTCATCTTTAGATTTCTGACAAGGGAACGATACTCAATGTCCGTGGCCTTTTAAGACGAGATGTATACCATTACACTCGCCTTTGAACGCTGATTCCGACTCTGACTTCCGTTTCTGCTAATCGTTTCTCTGAAGGAAGTTATGGAGGAATTTCGAGCCAACTTTATCCGCCCAAAGGTATGGTCTCCAGAACGGCCTCTACCGGCGCCATGTTATTGTCTAGTGGTTAGTGTGATAGCTTCATAACTTGATACAGGTGTAGGTTCGAATCCTTTTTATTTTGCACTACCTCAATCAAAGTTGTTCGAGATTCACTCGAATTATGGTCATTGGATACATTTTAACGCAAATAGTAAGTTTTTTCCAAATTTCCACATTTTTTGAAGAGTAAGGGCGTTCAGTTAGCTCGAAGATGCAAAAGAGGGTTTATTGAGTCAATGCAAAACTGAAAAACACAAGAGGATTCGAACCTACACCTGCATCAACTCATGGGTCTATCGGCTAACCACTAAACCACACCGCACCGTCGCTGTTGTCGCTTCAAACATATTTCAGTGAACAGCCAAACTCCGCGCGATCCATGATAAAATCTTTGAAGCGATTAGCAGAAACGGAAGTCAGATTCGGAATCAGCGTTCCAAGACGAGTGTAATGGTATGCAACTCATCTCAAAAAGCCACGGACACCGAGTATCGTTTCCTTGTGAGAAATTCACGTGGCTTCAAATAGTTTGCTGGCGCAAATCTCAGTCTCACATGTCAGTATCGTGCATTCGACTTCGCAATCATCTCCGCAGTGCGCCCCTGTCTCGTATCCCCTACCCCTATCATCTACTATCGCCCCAACCTATCTATACCGCTACCCCTCCCTCCTCTTTGCATTCCCTTTGGGCCGCATGCACTAACATCCCTGCGGCGAGGGGAGCGGCGTCCCCAATGATGAAAAAGCCGCAGCGGCGTCCGCACGCGGTCCCTTCATAACGGGGGACGCCGCTCCCCTCGCCGCAAAAATGTTAGTGCATACGGGCCTTTATTTCAGACAAACCAGTAGGCGAATTAAGCAATTCATTTGTAGAGTCCAACTGTAAAAGGATGTAATGCTTGTTGACATCCCTCATTGTAGTTTAAAGATGAACTAGAATGTCTCAGCTGCCAAGACTTATATTGGAGAAACGGCTAGAAATCTGGGTGTACGGTTGAAAGAGCATTTAGCGAATAAAAGACGAGGGATTCCAACAGCACCGTTGGAACGGCACAAGATAGGGGAGCTCTGCGGAAATGATTACGAAGTCAAATGCACGATACTGACATGCGAGACCAAGATTTCCGCCAGGAAACACTTTGAATCTCTCCTCGTGGATTTCGTCAGAAATCTTAAGATGAATGTCAAAAATGAGTGCTTGTCTATCAGTAGTGACTTAGCTCCATTCATATCATTATGTGGGCTTAGTGTTGATGAAAGGACTTGACTCATTGGGTGACACTTAGTGACGTCCGTTACGACCAAATTTGCGGGCTTGTCGCTAGCCGGTGGAGTCGAGGTTCGTTTGTTTTGTAGCCTTGAGTATTCATACTGTGAGTCTTAGGCTAGATCTGGACTGACAGAGTGGGAAGAAGCGCTTGAATGTATGGTGAGCAAGTCAAAAAGCCTACAGCCTAGTCCAAAAGGTTTTCAGACTTTTGACGACGACGACATTGTCGAAACGTAAGGTCAATAAAGTCTCCACCACAGAACCTGAAGGCACAAACTAGTGATACTATTACTCTACTAACTCGCGGTAAATTCTAATGTACCCTGAACAAATAGCTCACATGCAATTTTGCTAAAGTTCATGTTGTCATTCTACGGTTTTCGCTTCAAGTTCCTCAAAGTGACGTAATTCAACCTGCACTAATCCAAATATTTGGTATTCGTGCGGCCAGGTGTCGGTGAACCTTGTGAACATTCAGCACTAGCTGGAAAAGGGATTAGGGAAGAGATTTCATTAAAGCAATGTTTTTATTTGAATGTGTGTATTTTCTTTATTCATGGCAGTTGAATCTTGGGTAAGTAAGTACTTGTGACAGGAGCAAAGCAACTTCCTTTTTGAGGGTCAACAAAGGAGTTCCCAATTCTGTTAAACTTTCCTGGCCGACTGACGGAGGAAGAGGGAGCGGGGGGAGGGAAAGGGGGGGGACTCCTTGAATTCAACGACATGCGCTTCTATATTATGGTTCGTTCGCACAGGACGCGAAATTGCGGACTCCGTGATTCCTTTTAGTCCACTACGCTCTCTCCCTTTCGTGAACTATCTTTGATGTACGCAAGACCCCTGCGTTTAGTGCAGTAAGCGGAAAGAGGTATAGGACTATATGTCGCTTGAAAAGAGGTGCAACAGACTTTGCAGCCATGCAATTTGCAGACAATACAGACATGTATGTGTCAGTTGTATTGTCTGTGCGGGGGGGGGGGGGGGAGACTATCAGCGACATTTAGTCCCCTACGCGGAAAGTGTTCTCTTTAGGTAGCTTTAGCAAGTTGTAGGACTTTTTCATAAGGGCAGCGCCTATGCGAATCTTGTTTAACGCTTGGAAACTGATTTTGGGGCTTAACTCAGGGCCCGGCACGAGGTGGGCAAATGACAAGCTGGAAATCGTTCTGGTGGGAAAAAGCAAGGGGGAAATGGTTATTGCAGGGACCGGGCCGGAGCCCTAAAAGAAGATTCTAAGTGCAAGCAAAAGAAGGTCGAATCATGCTTATTACCTTATACATCTAATTCATTGGGAAGTAGTTTTCATAAGCCTCAACGCACAGCAGAGTTCGCGCGCGCTAGGCCGCGCCGCCGCTAATTGCCGCGTACGCGACGTCGCATAAGCGATGCCGTTGAACAGCATGATTGCATGATCAGTTCTCAATGCAGGCGTAACGATATAGCACCAAATTACGTAAGCGAACGAAGAGAGGTTAGTAGAGACAAAGTATATGATATTATGAAAAATTTATGTGAATGGGAGGAGTAATAAGCATTTTTTCCAATAATTTTGTAAAAGTGGTAAATGAAGATGTGCATTTATATAGCTCGTTTGCAGCGCACAGACGACCATACGGTATGGAACTTGGTAGATACAAGAACACAGGCCTGCAAGGCTTAACTTAGAAGTTTCATTGAAAAATTATGTGACTGAAGGTTATGGCAAGCTTTTTCCTGAAAATTTCCCCTAACAAGGAAATGGAAAAATGGCTCGTTTGCAGCGCAGAGAAAACGAAATCGCGCGAGACTAGGTGTGTATACGCGCAGTAGGCCTAAGGAACAATGTATGAAAATTTATGAAAAACTTATGTGAATGAAGAGCGTGCTCAACTTTTTTCAAAATTAGGTGGGCAATTGCCCACCTAATGCCCACCTGAGGTGGGCAAAACTTTCAATTCACATAACTTTTTCAAAATTTTTACATAAATCTGTTGTACACCTAAAGTTTACTACATGGTGAAATTTTGGTTCCGAAACTCCTCCTCTTGTCCTTGTTAGAGCCCAAAATCGCATCACAGCCTAGCTTTCTAAGATGGAAAGCGCGCCCCAATCAATCGATACGCACGGGAACGGCGTCTCTCATTCCTATAACTGCATTAACTTGATTTTTCTCATTCCTTCATCATTTTTCTTGCTTATTTTTTCTTGTTTTTTATCTTGATAAAGCTGAGGAGTAATTTGAGTAATCTGAGCACTTTGGGCGCTTTTGAGGGCTTTTAGGCGAAGTGTGGCCGGTACTCTCATTGCACAAGCACAAAGCGTCATTTTTGGGCTCAAGGGGGTATTCGTAAAAATTATTGGGATCAAAGGGGAATTCGCTTTGGAAAACCCCGTTTGCCCACCTCGTGCCGGGCCCTGGCTTAACTGCGACACTACCAGAGCGGCAGCAAATCGCTCACGGCTGAGAAATGGTATTTCAGACGTTAGTGAATCATTTGCGCTGCTGATCGAGCTATGCTTACTCAGATAATCGTCAGGGGCAGGCAGTCCGCATCTCGCGCTTTTCTGCAAGCGGACAGCAGGATTTTGGGGCGTGGCCAAACCTTCAGCGAGCGGTACTTCCTCCACTGTCTACAGTTGCAGCGGTAGAATTTGTCCAAAATTGCGGGATTGTCGGGATTCGCGGGATTGTCGGGATTCGCGGGATTCGCGGGATTCGCGACTTCGCGGGATTTGCGGGATAAGCGGAATTTAGCTATAACTTCT